TCCTTCTTTTGTGGAAAGAATGCGTTTTGAAAATATCAGATCAGAAGTATGTCCAATAATTATAATTTTATCTGAAGTCTTCCTTCAATAGAGACAGAAAAGTCCAGTCGAGGAAATCAATTTTTCAAGAAAAAGACACTGGCTGCTATATGCTTGTGGGTCATAGTATGTAAAAAGTTCAAGTTTTTCTATTATCGATATTGTCAATTAAAAACAAAAGTATTTTGAAACGGATATCAAAAGAAAGTAAGTGTTAATGATAGTAGTGGTGAAAAAATGAAGAAATGTCTCTGGACTCGGCTTATAACTTTTTTCGTCTTCAAAATATTTCTCGATTCATGGTATGTTCTTCACTCTTATGTGCCTGTTAGCATGTTGTTGTAATCAAAATAGTATTAAAATGGTTGAGGTTGAGAGGCGTAATGGTAACACACTTTCCTTTCACCTAGATGTCCTGGGTATGATACCCGAGTTGACGTAAAAAAGTACCAACATGTCAAAAAAATACCAACAAGTCAACATAATCATAATCCTGACTGATACTGAAATCAGCACGCGTATCATACTGCTTGGTGGAAAGCTGTCCGTCATTGCTTAGGGATCACCTGCCTTTCCGACCACCTTGGTATTCTGGGCCTTCATACTCCGCTTGCCTCCCACATAGAATCCTCGCGCGCTTAAATCAGGGTAAAAAAATCATAACTATAAGTTGGAAAAGAAGCTTGTTTCGCAGTTGTTGTGAAATAAAAAAATCTTTTTAAAAAAAAAAAAAAAATAGTTATTCCCATGATAACTTACCATACTGAAGGTCTTGGAAACAAAATTCTGGTGTTACCGTTTGATGCAGTTAAAAGAAACAACAAAATCTATAGAAGAATTTTTATTTAGATAGAAGCTATTGATAGAAATTACACCATATTTGTACATCGATAGTATAATCCTTCATATCTACAGTATACCGAAATAAATATATAGTTAACCGAAACAAACAAACGCCGATTGTAGTAATTGTCCAAATAAATGAAAGAAATGAGTTCGAGCAGATATTTGCATTAATCGAAAAGTGATATTTGTACCAATGTTTGTCTGAAATAATATTGTATATAAATAATAATATAGATAGATAGTCATTTAATGAAATATTATTATTTTATGTTTGTTTTTAATCTTCGAATGAATTCAATATTCTGATGATTTTTGTCTTTCGTAAAAATTACGGATTGAAAATATTTAAAATGTTCTCATACATACAGAAACTCAAAACCTGGGTCGTACAGAGTTCGTAAAATAAAGAAGTTTATCTGATGACAAACAAATTCAGAGTTCGTTGTCCAAAACAAACGGTATCTATTGTGGGAAGTTTCTAACGTGATGCGATTCCAATAATGTATAGCAATGATATACATGATACCCTTAAGTGTTTTGAAATGGAAGCATAAACCTGTTCTATATGATGTCAATATTTAAAGAAGATTTCATAAAAATCAAATATATTATTCCTTTATTATGAGGTTATCTTTTCTTTGTATATCCATTGGATAAATTGTTAATCAATTTTGAAATTGTTTAATGTTTTTAGTATTTTTTCCCCTATTTTTCACCAATACAATATAAAAAGACAACAAAACCTCTACACACTTTACCTAGATTCAGTGATGTTGATGAGCATTACACAACCGTATGACTGTCGGTAGCCCAACCCTAAATATAGATTCATAAATTCACGTACTAATTTCTAGACAGACTATGACTGCAATGTAATATTTATAAATCAGGTCCACAAATATACATATCAATCGAGGCCACACGCACGTCATGCCTGGCACACAAATGCACATATGAACACATTTACATTGGAAACGTGTTCTCAACTAACATATAGTTGGTAGCAAAGTAAACATATTCTACACTTACAAATTACCACCTCAACCTGAACGTATAGAAAAAAACTTTATATAAAGTTCAATTATAATATGGAACTGTTTTCTCTCAACATCAAACCCTTTCAAACTTTCATATTCAAACCTTATTAAATACAAGCATATGTGTAAAAAAAATCTAAACGTTAATGGCTTTCTATGAATCACATAAACTTTCACGCGTTTTTTTCTTGATTAACAATCGGACAATTCGTCATTCACTCTACCACAACATAAAAATAGGAAATTGATAGAGAACAGTCCTTATACTGCTGTGTGCTAATTAACATGCATTTGAGACTAAGTTTGTGACCTATACCAATGAAATAGCGTTTCATCATATTTCAAGAACCAATCAGAAAATAGTTTGATAAAAAGAGACCTGGTGTTAGAATAGATATGACACCGCTATTGCAGCTTTTAACCTTAACATAAGAACACTGTACAACATTGTAATGATGGTATGGACGTACAACATGAAGTTATTCATGAAATATTTATGCACAATATTTGATCTACAAACCGATTTCTATACATTTCCACTACACCCCACTATTTTACTAAAATAGGAAAATAAGAATAAGAAAGGATTTCCGACCATTTTACCTTGACATATGACTTAAAAGTCTGATCATGTTTGAAACGTGATGTTTCGCTACTACGGTGTAAATTGATGTAAGCTATATAGGAGATTCAAAAGCAATATTAGCTTTTTATTTCGGAAGCTGTGAAGTGCGACTTTTACCTACGGCTAATGACCCATGGTTTATTATCACGTTGGTGACTTGCTATTCTGATTCTGTAGTGTAAATATGAATGCATGAGCCGAATCGTTCACGATTTCATGAAATAGTGTTAACCTGTTTTACTAAGCACGCATTCACATTATACCTATTTTAATAAGATAACAAACGATAAATCTATAAAGCGTCAATGACTACATGTAGGTATATGTGATTCTTTTCTAACAATTTTAATAGATAAAACCATACATACTAGTATGAAATATAGCAAAATGAATGAAAGCAGAGAATAGGCAGAGATGTGAAAACAAATATTCAAGAACATATTGGTCCCACAGGACAAATTCACATAATTTAATTTTCATGACTTCTTTTCATGAATTCTTAATGACTTTTTGATATAAACCATCTAACGTTATAGAATCATTGATACAACTCTCAATCAGCCGTACAAAAGGAACGTTCGAAAGTTATCCCAAAGGAAACAACAACCGTCATAGCTGTCTAATATGTATATAATACATATAGGTATTTAAACAAGCTAACAATAAGATATGTACATTGTTATAGACTTTCATGAAATATTGGTCTGCAAAAATAATAACAATATGAAACAATAAAAACACAAAAGGCGTTAAATCACTTTCGTAATAAACGAACTAGTGGATGAATCACCTCAAGCCCCGACAAGCCATCCGAGTAAGACATTGCTATAGTTTCCACAATTATCATATGATAAAAATGATATATATGCTGAAAAAATAGGTCAATATTGAATCAGTCAGAAATTAAAAACAAATATTATATGACTTATTAAAGTAAAATTGAAAATTTCGTTCCGCAATTGAAAACAAACCACACAAAAATAGTCTTACTATTCAGTCTACTTCATATATACAATATTCATGTAAAATCCACGTTCCATGCTGTCTAAACTGTAATATACTTGTATTTTCTGCCTTGAATTTAATAGTATGTCTAAAATATATCAAAATACAAACACTGATAATTTTACAAATACAAATTTCATATAGTCCTGTTATTGATCGCATTGATTGAATGGAGACGCATTGGTAACGCCAGGGCTCTCGATCTGCCTGATTTGGGGCCGAATCCCAATGCAAAATAGTATCTTTTTTCCCAATTTAGACCCGAAGTTTTCCCAATTCTAAGGAAAACGCCATTATTTTTCCCAATTCTAAGGGCCCCGGGCCCAAAATGGGGTGTGAGAGCCCTGAACGCATTCGCCTTTCATCAATTTCAATTCTTGGAAGGACGTGAAACATGATGGGGTCACCTGTCCGATCACCCGGGTTTATCCCAGGTAGTCTAGTTTCCTTTCACAGTAAGATACAATGCGCACTCCCATCTGGACCAACAAGAGTGAAAAATATAAGTTGGAAAAATGTTTCGTAATTGTTTTAAGATGAACAAAGTTTAAAAAATGATTTGACACGCATAGATATTGAGACGAACAAAATACAGGAACGAAGCCATCCGTTAACACAAACTGAAAACTCTCAAACTAATTTCCCTAAAGATTGGTGAAATTCAGCCCAGAAAAGGTATTTAATGTCACATGTTAATGACGTCAAACTTTATTTATTTACATAAATCATACGGCTTATCACATAACAAACACAGATAGATTTGTGTCAAACCAGAATTCATCGACTTAAAAGTATAAATTTATCTATCGCTCAAACATCATAATTTGATTGATAAAATTATTACACACTTTAAGTACCTAATATGAGAAAGAATCAAATCACTAGATGTACCGAGGTATACCTTTCATGCATGACGTTGAGATTGTAATGAAGAATGCAAACGTCATGTTTAAGTTGCCATTTTTGCCCCTTACCACTTAGCAAATGCATCGTGTACACAAACAATAAAATATCTGTACAGTGTACAGTTTATATCCAGAATAACTTATGTAAAACATTATTTTACTTATTGATATGAGCTCGGACTTTTTGATAGGTTAGCTATGATATTCATACATGTGTATGTAAGATGCCGTAGACAATTTGTGTGTTATTATCGTTTTGAAAACGCTTTGTTGTTTCTTATGCAACGGATAGTACAAAAAAACATGTGTCAATATCAGGAACTTATTACAGTAAAATACTGTTATAATATTGCTTACGAAATCTACTTTTAGCTGATACATGAATTGGTGGGAAATGCTATTTATTGGTCAAATGGATCGAAAACCAATCTTCATGCCCAAAACATTTTCTGAATTATAAAGGTTGATCTTGTCCCTTTAAACGGTTATTTATTCGGGGTAAGGGTGTGGCCAATAATGTTGCCGAACAGCAACAGTTTGAACTTATTCCGATGAAACATCATTCTTAGAAATATGTCCTTCACATGTACTAGCAAACCAGGCATTTGGATAAATTCGTGCTGTAACTTTTTCCTCTGCTGCTTTTCGACCAAACAAAGGAGGTATTGGTCGTACTGGGTGTTCTTCTTGATACTCAATTGATCCATTGGGACTTTTGACTTCGACTTCGGATGTGTTTTCAGCAGCTTCTTCTGTTTTGATGTCGCATTGCTTTCCACGTAGCCAGAACGTCAGCATCTCTCCTTTACCCTGCACAGTAACAAATCATTTTCAATAATATGAAATATTTGAATTTTGATATCCCAAGAAAATATTACTTGTTTACAGAATATTCATCTTTTGTGTTTATATGCAGAGATTGGGGCTGAAATGAAATGAAATCAAAATTTTGTTTTTAATTTCAAGTTTAAGTTCACCTTCCTAATTGCATTGTCTTTTTACATGATATACTTGACTTCCATTTATATAGAGATTGTTAAACATTTGATGTTGCACTACCAAGTAACAACGATCCTTGTAAAAAGTGAATTTCTCTCTTATGATTTCCGAGAAATACTAATCTGTATGATTTTTTCTCTTCCAGTCACAAATAGTTAGTATACAACATTATAAAGGAAATTACATGTATATTGGCTGTGTTTTTCCAAACACAACAGGCGTTTTTTTCCTATATCTAAGCATGATGACTTCAATTTCCTTTTTGTGAATGTTCCGTATTTTGATAGTAACATCCCTGCACTCTAAATTGATAGTATTTACTGCATCATGATTTTTTGTGCAAGATGTCGTCAACCGACAGAAATCTCATAAAAAAAAAGGTGTTTTAAAGAGTCGTCTTAGTGATTTCATTGAAAAAATGTTATATTTCTTGTTACGGTATGCAGCTTAGATGTATTTGCTGTTTGTTTGTTCCGTTGTTGTTTACTTTAATTTAATCTAAACTTGACTTTGACCAAAATTTACATGGTGGGTGTCGCCGATGAAGCAGAAGACGATTACTCTTTTAGAACATAAAATCTTATTCTCCTACATTTTCAGTCTCCGAGTAAATCTTTCTTTTGTTTATCATTTGCCTTAATTTTATTGAATTTGGATTATTATTATGGTCACTTGTTTTGTTTTTATACAATGAATAAATCCTAAATGACAATTCTGTACCAGTTAAGTAATTCTCTATAGTACTGCTATAAGTTTGAAGTCACGATTAACATTGCGGGCATATTCAACAAAAATAAATAAACAATAAATAAACAAAAAGAAATTACCAGCATGAATCATAATCCAAGCTCATATTTATAGTTTGATCGCTGCAGCCAAAATGATATTATTATTTAGGGAAGTATTGGTACAGTTCACGTTTATGACAGTTAAAAACCGATGTAGATATTATCTTTATGAAACAATTATACTTCATGTGAGGACAACGTTAATTAACTGGAAACATCTTATCTGAGATTTGTTAGGCAAAAGGTCGACGTTGGTTGTTTTTTATGTAAGATACCTCACAATCCCGCGAGACTATTAAAATACTAATTGTTATTGTTGCTTATGCTATAAGAAGAAATTCTTACCTTGATATTTATGAGACCTCTCTCCTTCGTGATATAGTTCCCCGCCTTCTTCAACGCGTTATTGGTCATTTGGGTGATATGTATTTTATTAGCTATAAAACAAAATATCTACATGTCAGATATACGGAATATATGTTAACGTAGCTACTGATAATCCGTCTCTGTGGAAAACATTATTTAAGTCTTTTGTTTTACAGATTTTCAATAATTGATTCTTCATTGTTTATATTAACTTAATTAATTCAATTATCAAACATTTGTGAAATCAACGTTTATCTATCACTAGACGGAAACGTTGTGTATGAGGAGAAACCAAATGATACAATCTCATGATTGGAAATATAATACAACAAATATTATGCAGTGAATTGCTTTCTTAATTTCGATAAAAATCAAATCGAAAATAATTGCTATCCTAGTTGTAAGTTGAAGGAACATAATGGAAATATGAAACAGGTCCGAAGTCTGAAAAATTATATAGACATTATTCTAACGGTCTTAAAAAAACTGATGTGTATGATATGTAAACGATATGAGAAAATATCTATATTATAATTTTATCACTATGAGCATTAACTTTGAAAACAAGTGATACTTACGACTACTTTCCATTTTCATCTTTGCGGCAAGGTTGACAGTCTCACCCAGAACACAATATCTTGGCATGATAGCGCCAATGATTCCGGTAATGCACGGACCTGCTCAGAAAGATGTAACCAAATCATTTCAACAGTATGAGGTAAGCCGTGAGAAATCACACAAGAAATAATTTGCCATGTAACGTGAAAGTACACAAACAAACTATACCATAACGGCGACAATGTGAGCTAACGATATCATTCAAATAAATTATCAAAAAAATCAAACTCAATCTCAATGAGCAAAATATCAGCAAATGTAATATTTACACAAAAATCGTACTGGGAAAATCAAATTACAGATGCCATCAATGGTAGATGGCACAGCCGATCCGTTGAAATCGTCAGCCGAGTCCATCTCTTCACCCCCAGTGCGATGAACATCTGCCATCCCGACATTCAAAGATAAATTCTCTGACTGCCATCCCTGCTCTCGACATTCTGCTAACCTCACACCTGGCATTATTCCTTCCATTTGCTTGCCCACACCTCTCCTCCCACGGCACAGTCAGTTTTTCCAGTATAATCTTCTCCCTCTCCATATACTACAGTACAATGTCTGACCGGAGAGTCGTTTAGACAGAAAAAAAAATCTTCCATTTAAACCCACTTCCATTATCCACTCGTCTGCAATTTGAAATAAACCACCATTCCTGTCAGTTCCAAGCGCTGATGCTTTCTAACATTTCTTCACAAAGTAGTATGATGACACTTCTAAGTGTAACGCTCCTGAATAGATGCCGTCCGACAGCATGGCTGCAAATGGTCAAAGTTCCCTCTTTTGCCGCATATTCACCACCTGTGATGATGTACCGATGTCAGTAAGACGTTATAGACTGCACGTAGAAGGAATTTCAGATGAAATGATGGATATCGCCAGATGGGCTTCCAAGTCAGTAGCCGCTCCTCTGTGTAAGTGATGTCATGTTCTCCAATGAGAACAAGTTACACAACAAAAACCATCGAAGCATGCAGCATGCTACAGAACCAATGTTGGGGCCACTGGTCTTTCGGTTATTGAGGAAACGTTGTTCAAATATCTTAACAATTTTGACCACTGTGAATAAACTTTTCATCCAAGCATGCTACAGATCCTTTATGAGAGAAGTTGTTTAAAATGTACCCTGAGAGGTCAGCTATGTTGAGCTTAAAAATAGTTCTGCACATAAAATACACATTGTCGAAAACGCGAATGCCGTTGAATGTTCCGTTATTGAGAAATTGCGACTTTTCTGAAAAACACTCCTTTGGCTGAGAGGCGTTGACCTCGTTTTCGGGCATCCAAACTTGTGACGTCATAAGTTAAACGCTTTTGCTGATGCAGCCATATTGGCTTTACTGTGCTACATGTGATTATGATCTATTTTGGGATGTTCCGGGGTAATTTCTTTATTTATTTACGTGAAAGTACTTCACATCTTCGCAATATTTAAGGTAGTGAACGAGGGGTCGATGAATTAGCGCTTAAATCCGCTAAAATGGCTTCCTATCGAGGAGGGAAGCGGTGTGCAGCGTGCGGTTGTCGTAACACTAAGTTGACAAACACGGATGGGATGTCGATGCATGCCTTCCCATTAAATAGGCCAGATTTATGCAAACAATGGATTCAGTTTGTCAGGAAAAAGAGAGACATGTGGAAAGGTCCAACGAAATATTCATATTTATGTTCAAAACACTTCGACGGAACTTCATTTCCAATTCGGTATAATGTAATGAAAGCAATGGATCGGACTCCGCCGAGTTCGACTAAATGACGATGTTATTTTCCTCCTCACTGGATACATCGTCTTGTAACTCCGGTTCAAATCGGTAGGGCTGGATTCCGTCTTCAGAAATATCAAAACTCCATCCCCTATCAGGTGCGGTGTCGTTGTCATTGTCAGTCATGTTGGCTGCCATTTCTGTTGAACTTATGTCGTCACGAGTAGAAGCGCCTCGATTCCGCGGAAATGACGATTACGCCGATTAGGTCTGAGCTGACAGGTGAAAATCGACAAATTTGAGCTTTAATAACTCGACACTGGGGCCGCGGATTTGACGGGGTTTACGTTATTATTATTTTTACGGCATTCTTAACATTATATCTAAATATAAAATTACATTCAGGTTGCACTTAATGCTGCGTTATGACATAAATTAATTGAACTTGTGGAAGGTCATAACAATATTAAAGTTTTAATTCTCCACCATCTTTGAAACACTGAGGTAGGATGTACAACACATTAGCAACGATAATTATTTTGATAGATAAACACAGAGGCCGTGTTGTATTGTACGAAATAAGCACTAGATAGTAAATGAACACAATCCTTACTCAATCTTATAAGAATTATATGATCAAAGTCCAGTATAAAACTTCATTATTTTGCAACAAAATTATCCCTATATATTATGATGTTATAAATGATAATTAAAATGACATTTTAATGTACTTTATACATGCAAGGAGTTGTTGTCATGTGGTTCATATGTTGTAAATAATATTAAATATTCGGTAGGATTTTTGACAATTCAAATTTCGCGGCCTTTGGTTTTGATGCGGAAGGGGGAAAGGGATGTGATGAGCATGTGCATCAAGTCATTACCAGACAAAGAAACAAAGGGAAAAGACGCATATAGCAGGTCAGTCAGTGTTTTGATTGTTTTACATATATTTTAGAAACTACGTCTTAACCCGCCTCCACTCCCTTCTCCTTTCGTAGAGCAATAAAGGTTATCAGACACAACAGTGGATGTTCATCTTTCTTATTACTTGTATGTATTAAGTTGTTGTCATTAACTAGGTTTGGGCGCTTGGGACCCCAACCTAGGACCAAATGTTTTCTTATGCGTTCATTTTTTATAATAAGTGTATGTATTAATTATTAGTTTGTTGTTATTAATTAGGTTTGGGCATTTGGTCCCCACCCAGGACCAAATGTTTTTCTGATGTGTCCGTCTTTTATAAAACATGTATGTATTAATTTCTTGTTATAAACTAGGTGTGAGCGTTTTTGATCCCCGCCTAGGACCAAATGTCTTCTCATGTAAAATTTGTTGTTCATGCTTGAAACTCTTATGTTTTCGTGTGTGTTCGTCGTTTATATATTAATAAACGGCCAATTTCAATCATAGCTGATCTTTTGTCTTGTCTTTTATGCTTATACATTTGGTCCAACTAGCTTGCCCTCACGACGGCCATGTATAAATACACAATTAACTCACGCTGCAATGAATGTGAATAATTATTAACCCAGACTTGTATCTCCTTCTATACAAGTAGCTATGAAGAGGTCTTTGACTCAATGAAAGGTTAAAGAAACCCGTAACTGGATGCATTGCTCAAGCCTTGCGTTAGTATTTCCTATTTTGTCCTGATTATATATGTATTCTACATTGAGTTACTGTATGCTCATGTGTTGAGCTATTCGTTAACGTAGTGCAGATCCTGAGAAAGCGCAGTACTTCTTTGAGCAGAGACAAGCTTTAAAGTGTACGTTGCTTAATTCACCTTACACTTATTTTACATATATATTTTGTATCATGGCGTTGACTTGGAAAGTCTGTGTTTGTATGTATCTGATATTGATATACATTTTGTAGATCTTAGCGGATGTTGACATGTTTTATCAGTATAGCTTATGTTTATCCCGACCTTTCCATACTAGTAAGATAGATCAAGTTAACACGCGATGCATGATGTGTGTATGATGCATGGACGATGTTCAGCCAATAGAAAAACTGAAACCCTCAATCTAATGAGTGCACAATGGACGAACACTGAGCGATACAGGTACGAAATATCACTGCAACCTCTCACATCAAATCCCCTTTTAAAAGTTATGTTATATTTTTTGGATTCGACGATACTGTAAAAGTTGTTATTTTTGTGGCGTCCTTGTTCTCTTATTTTTGAGGAAGTAATAAAACAGCGTATATTGACTACCTTAAAAATAGAACATAATAAAGAAAACTATTTCATGACTTCCGCGAGAAAATTACACATTTCTTGCATTTATAATATTAACCATCATGTATGCATCTCTAGCGAACGTTAAGCAGTTCTCATTATAAAGTGACAACAATTTGTTCATTTCTAGTGAACTCTCATAATTGTGATTGATTTATGTAAAAAGTATGTTCTCTTTTGATACAAAGATATAAAGTTAGAGAAACAAAAAGGAATTTGTTTGATATAAATCTCGTATTTTTATTCTCAGTTGCAAAAAAATACACCCTCATACAAAATTTTGATATTTTTCATCGAATGAATAACGTTATTATACACCTGTATATGTATTGCTAGATGTAACCTACCTGTATTGATTCCGATGAGAAGCTGTACGTATCTGTTACCGGATACAGCGAAACGTTTAGTCTGGATAAGCTGTAGCATTTCCAGTGCAAGATCTGCTACCTCAGATGAATGCCTGTCTTCGTTCCGGGTCGGCAATCCTACAACGCATCAACATTTAAAAGGTGCAAATTTTTCAATTCTTCAAACAGCTTACATTCTGTTACTATCATCAATATCAAGTCGATTTCTTGAGTAACTGGAGTAACTTATTTTTCAGAACGAACAGGAGCTTTAACGAGTTGGGGAACGGATATATCCCATAAAACGTGGCAGTCTCAACTTATCCGGTTCAATGTGATCCGCATCACTACGCGACTAAATCTCATATATTTTAGATGACTGACTTGTATTAATTCTAATTTATTTAAACATTGATCACTTTTAAAATTGTGTATTATTAGAATGCATAAACGAGACAATTTTACTTTTCAAATGACATGTTTGATTGGTCGATTAATTAACCAATCAAATATGCTCTTTGAAAAGTTAATTTGCACTGTTCCTATTTTGAGAATACAAACAACAATGATGACTGATTGGATTTGAATGAAGCACTACGTGAACAGTAGTCCGCTACCTGAGATTATTTTTAACTGGATACTTAACGTAGGTTCGGAGTTTGTATACGCATATATTTAACAGAAGAATGTCTCCTGAAAATAAAATAAATACATGTCAACAGCGTGTTTATTTGATACTGACCTTAAGCCACCTATATTTCAGCGGACAGATACACCTACATCGGGGATTTCGCCGGTCTTGTTTCACCCAAAGGTGTGTAAATTTAGTCTGTTGTATCTTAATTAGAGTTTTCCTTGTTATATTTTTGCGATTGTTTTGGTACCAAACGTGAAAAAATGTTCTCGCAAGATCTTTGAGCCAGTTTCCTGAATCAAAATCTTATTAACTTAGCATTTCAAAATTATCATGAGGAAGTAAATCGAAGGTGCGATCTCATACAGATCGCGACACGGAAGAAGGGAGACAACTTCCTTTTCTGTCCTCGTCAACAAACATCATTTGTACCTTGATCAGACGATTAACAGGAATATGCGCATCACATTCTTGACCTCGCCACAGTCTCAAATGTCAAATGACATCACTGACATCAATATGTCATTAATACTAGTACATATCACTTCTGATAATTATACATGTATTCTTCCGTCATTCTGCACCACAGATTCCTTATGTCGATAGCATTCATTTAGAAACCATAGCCACGCCCCTCTTGCCCTCTTCAGAACTATTCCTACACGTACCTATCACGTTCTATATTATAAAGACGACAAACTCTTGACATAGTCAGTGTAAATGTTGAAAAAGGTCACGTAAATTCAACAACGGAGGTAAAGTGGAATAGTTAGTCGTAATTTTGTAAAACAAAATAAGATATTTTACAAGAATCTTTAACAATGTACAAAATGTTGCTGGCGTGTAAAAAGTAAGATTTCCACGTACCTGAAGCGACCATATAGCAGTCTTTGATCGTCTCCACCTTGTATGCATTGTAGTTCTCTATAAGATCGTCCATCGTTCCATACACAGAATTCATCAGCACCACTATTTCATCGGGCGAACACTTACTTGATATTCTTTTCAAAAAAGCAATATAAAATGGATCTTAATTATTGTTATCTTATTAGTTCCTAGAATGTTGTGATGACATATATGTAATACGATATATCGTAGTAGTGATTGGCTGATGGTGCCATGGTGACATCCTAATTTCATGGCGCCATATGTATTGTATTATTATCGAAGAAAAGATATTCAATATAATTGTATATAAAGAGACACTTAATAAGCGTATCCATTTTGTCTCGTTCGTGTCTCTTATGTACGAAACATTCCGACTAGCAAAAGGACTACGATACCTTTGGTCAAAACAAAAAAGTCAGTTATCTATTGCACCTGTATGCGTAGAGAAATGATGTATTACTATTATTGTTATCAATATATCATCATCATTATTATTAATTAAACCACCTGTTAAATCCGAAGATATCGAGGAAGAGGATGGTCACTGCATTGAAGTACTCTGGGGCTATTTCAACGTTTTTCTTCAATTTTTCTGCTACAAGAGCTGGTACCATCTGGTATAGAAGTCCGTCCGCCCGTTTCTTTTCTATTCTCAGATCATTAGTACGATCCACCAGTGTCAGTCCATACCTGCCAACAAACCAAGATGTCTTTAGCTTCTAGGCTTAAACTCTACAGGTTATTTTTCCAAAGGGAAATTCTTTCAAAGGGCAATTCAAGATAATGCAATCACCACTATCAGACATCTGTTATTCAACCTTCTATACCCACCTGTGCATCCTCTGCCTCACACTCAATATTTACCTCAACCTACCATTCCCACCTATGCATTCTCTGCCTCACACTCAATATTCACCTCAACCTACCATTCCTACCTGTACATCCTCTGCCTCACACTCAATATTTACCTCAACCTACCATTCCTACCTGTACATCATCTGCCTCACATTCAATATTTACCTCAACCTACCATTCCTACCTGTACATCCTCTGCCTCACATTCAATATTTACCTCTGAAAGCTATTCGTCAGGTTCTGCGTAATGTAGATGACAAGAGGACACATGACGAGTACAACGAAGAGGAAAGCTGCACTGACTGCTAGATTGTTTGTCGTCTGGTCAATAACGATGTCAAGGATATCGATAATTTCGTATCCAAGGTCTCGCTGAATCTCAAGCAAAGTATCCAAATAAATAGTCATATTGTCGAACCTGCGAGAAAGAAAGTCTGACATTTATAACAACTCAAATTTGCAATCTGCTGCCATATTCGTTTAATAAATAGGACCAACCATGCCTAGCTATTGTGTTAGGACAACACATATCATACCAACCAACGTTGGAAAATTTCATAATATGGATTTAAATCAATGACTGCATTAAATTGTTTGAACGTCCAAAATACACACATCAACTTGTCTAGATAATGATTCACAAGCATTACTTAGATATTAAACTTTTGGGGTTTTTATTTTGAAATAACAACAAATGAAAAGTATAGGGTAATATAGTATTCATTTAGATTTTGCTGTGATGAAATGTCTGTAAGCAGGAGGGAAACCACTAAAAATGTGTATTTATTGTATTTATTCATTCCAAAACAAAGGTTTTTAAGGAACGGGTGCTAATTTAGCCATACTGCGATCATTTAGTTATAGGATAAAATTTTCGGGAAAACATTTAAGGTCAGCAGCATATATTATGTTTTCCAAAACATCAGATTTTGTGTGGAAAATAGAAAAAAAAAAACAAAGATATATTGGTAACGCTCTTAAAAACCCAATTTTACGTTGAAATCTGTCTTTTTTGTTTTCTGTTACCAGGTTTTAAGAACGAAGTTGTCAAAAGTTATTATGTGGAAACAGTCATATATTTTACTACTGATATATTTACACTGAACACAGATTTTGCCATAATCTGAAATGTCACATCAACCAGCCTAACCATATCTGGAGAAAAATATTAAAACGTTTGGGGAATCATTATCTGTGCTTGGCAAATGGCTGACCCTAAATCCGTCTGAATGACACAACTGACACCCTCCTTTTGCTTCTGAAAGTTTATAGCAAGAAATGTTATAATTTATGACGTTCATGACAATGCCTTAAACACGAAAATAATTAAAAATGACGTCATGATTAATAACGTGAAATTGAATGTCATATCCAAATATAGAACATTTTCTCTCATTTCGGATGTTATCGCAAGGTTATCATTAAATGACAGCCATTATCCGACGCCATTAACAGTTAGTTGCATGACTGTGACAATACTGCAGATATTGGGAAAAAAAGAATAAGAATAAAACATACCAATATCGCGCCTTTTCCATATCAGGGTATGTTGCTTCAACGGTGTGATGTTGTATCTCTTTCCGGAAATTGTTGATAATGCCAGTGATATTGGTCTCAACCATTTTGACACCGGAAGTATAGAGGCGATCGACCCTTGCGGAATAAAGCTCTGCAGTAGTATATAATGCTTTAAATCTGCTAATGCGGTTGTTATACATCTCAAAATATTCCCGAGTCTGCAATAGATCAATGATTCCATTTCATTTGAATCCAAAAATTCCAATATCATAGTTCTTCTGGACTGTCTTCAATCGATCAATGTCGTTAAATGTACATGATTTGAATTTCGTTAGAATCTAGATCGGATAGAAATCAGTAATAAAATAAGCTAATTATTGTATATCTTATTCTAAAGAAATAACATTGTTTTGTGAGCAGCATATAAAGAGATTTGGCAATTGTTTGAATATTACGACATATTGCCTTCATTTTAGCGAGTAGATACATATGACTGGCTGATTGTTGTCATTTTGTTGTTTCGTTTTGTCGCCCCAACAGAATGATAGATTTCGTCTTTTTGCTCCAGATAATCAGTCTTTTCGAGAAATACTGAAAAAGCCAAGTCGCTAACTTGCCACGTTATTTGTCGTCTTTTCGCCAAGATAAAATGATGTTTTCGCGGCAAAACATAATAAATGTCGGGGCGACCCGCAAATTAACGACTTCATTTTTTTCGTTTTTTTTGCGTTACGGCGACTTTTTGTTATGTCACCGCGAAAAGACCGTAATTGTCGAGGGCAAAAGATTAAGATTAGCCTTCTATCGTGTTGGGAGGGGCAAAGAAAAACGAAATGGTAAAAGTCAGTCACCAAATATATGTAAACAGATTTTCATACATTGCAAAAATAGAGAAACTTTGACACTGATGACAAGTCCGTTATCAAAATGTCTCGTGCGATTTGTCGAGCTGGCTTGAGATATGAAAATATCTTTATTGTTTCCCTAATATATTGGTCAGTTATGAGGAAAAACAGAACTGATATTGCATGTAACAAACAAAAGGAGCACTGCAATATAGGAAAGTAGAGCTATGATTCAAAATATTTGAATAGAACAATACTAAAATGAATAATTCAATAAATTATCTCCCTTAGAATCAAACCTCATTTTGTAAAGCCATTTACCTTGAAACCTCCTTGCACAAAGAAGAGAGTACCGAGGGCACGTTCAATTCCAACGTCCTGTTTACCACTGGTCAGCTTGAGATAGGCGACTAGAGTCTTCCACACCACAGCGAACTGACCTCTAGTTATAGACTTGTAGAGCCACACAATCACTACGTCTATAACCTTGAAAATAAAAATGGCAAGCCTCTATTCGTTAGTTAACCAAGTGGTTCTTTTTATGTTCTGATTCGGGAACGTGATTTACCTGGCAGGTGTCGTCGAAGAAGCAGAAGACGCTTATTCTTCGGATTTGAGTTTGAATTAAAATTCTGTTGACATATCGAGTATTTTTTTCCACTGTTTTCATGACAGTTCATATAAATATCCCCAGTGGTCATATCTTGTTCATGTTCTTTCCTGTCAAGTTACTTCACGAGTTTTCATTTTCGAAGATTATTGTTTTCGCGGTTTTGTCTTATTATTGTAGTAAAAAGGATGTGTTTATTCAAGAATGTCAAAACACGAACTAAATATATAGATATATTTATAAATAGATAGCGTATCGTACATATCAATATATAATCAACATTTGATAACAAAAATTCCAAATCGCTAACGTTTTCAAGCATTATATATATAATTTACGATGCCACCACGGAACAAAGAAAGCTATATCGAAAGAAACCAGATATCAACAAACCTGAGTATAGAACTCCATCTCAACATGGAGATTAAACGTGTCTTTAGACAGCAGCTGACGGTGGAATTTAAGATATTCCTGTAGTTTTCCCTTGGACTCGAACTCTGTCCTCTTCTCGTTGTCCAAATCAGCTGGCCATTCGGAGAGGGCGTCTATGGCTTTATCGGTGAACATGTACTCCGTCAAGAGAAAGGTTTTCGTCTCCGGCCCGAGGTCACTCAGATACAATACGCTCATATCTCGCTCTTGCTGCAAATGATGGATAAGCTTGCCTAGTTCCACGCTAAGTTGTAACTGGAATTTTGTCTGTGGCAAGAGGAAAAACAACAACACATTTCTTCAATCCGGTCGTTGTGGCCGTGTATGGCAGTCATAAATGATTAATGGATTCTTTCAAATCAAAAGTTTGCCAAACCCATAACCTGCCAACCCGATGGTTGGTATCTCCATATTTATACAAATATATACGATTCGGCCTCATTTTGCCTCATTAAGGACTAAATATGAGCAAAGAACTTTTCACTTCCATCTTAAATTCGCCCTCCCCGGTCATGGACGAAGGAGTAAAAAAAATATTCTCGGTACATAGTATCACCCAAAAAGGGCGAATTTCTTTCTTATCGTGCATGCTTTTTTACGAAAGTGATTGCTTGGCATCGTGGTCTTGACGTCATAGTTATTAACCTTGTCTCAAGCAGGACCTTTCTCATGGATATTGCTGACTCGTCTAGCTGTTCAACATAACATTTTTCAGAACTACTTAACACCATTCTTAGCGTTATCGTATCTTGGTTACAATCTGTGATACTGTTTATCCTCGAAGTGAAATTAATAGTAGGTAGATCTTAGATCCTTCCAAAGAGCTTTTAACCAGTATTAAATTATCTTTTCTCAGTTGCAACGTCCACGATACAAATATGTACTCTTTTTTATGTTTCTATCTACAGTACATCGATAGAAACTTTTCGACAGCAATGTCCAGCGATGAAATAATAATAACAGAACTTTCTTACCTTTTCATTCTCCGTCTTCCTCTTGACGATGTCCGTGAGCGTGTACACACTGAATGCCCATAGTCCTAGGATGGGCAACACCGTCAGACACAGCATCTTTACAAGCTGTAGGCGATTGCCAATATCAGTCAACTGCTTATCTCGACAAATATCTGTAAATCAGAGGTAAATGTGTAAATAGTAAACCATGATACTGAAATCTTTCCAGTGTTATACCAAAGTTCTACAAAATGTTTAATGCTAAGGCGGAGTTAAGAGTTTACAAACCTATGCTGGTAATTTGTGTAATTATCAACTCTTGATGATGCAAACAAAGTATTTTTTAAAAAAAATTGTTTTCCGTCTTGCGCCATTTTTGGAGATTTCTTTGTCGAGATGCTTGTTTCCTGACATTTTATCTTTTACAAGTATTATTTTTATATTTAGCAACACTAACCTTTATTTCTGGTCATTCATTCCATGAATATGTGAAAAATGTCATTTTAAACTTTAACATGTCAGGCATCATAAAGCAAAATAAATATTTGGGTTCTCTCCATTTTCATATTGATGATATATCATAAGATATTATCGTTTACCGGATATATCATGATATTGTTAACTTGAATTTGTGCACCTCTACATTTTAATGACCATTTTTTTAAACCAATATCACTAAACGAATCTGCTGGACTTTCAGCTACAATCCGATCCAACACACAAATATTCCATTGTGGATTGTTAAAATTATTAAAAGTATTATCCATCTCAGCAAGTATTTCGTTTAAAAACTGATGAAGAACGGACAGTTTAACTGGTACCTTATATATAAAGATGAATGTATAAATGTTGTGCATGTTGTCAATTATTGTTGTTAACTTTTACCATAATAATTAGGGGGTTTAACATTAAATATAGTATAAGGAATAGGTCAGGTATCCCGATGTTTTTTTCTCTGTAATAGAAACAGGGACCCAAGTCTTAATCTTTTGAAATCCAGTAATCATATAGTGTTTTTTTTCTTCTAAATTTCATAGCATCATAATGTGTTTTGAAAACATAAGTAATTAAAAAATATTTAGTACCCAAACTTAAAACACTACAGCATTGCAGGTTTGATTATAAAAATCATTAGTTAAGTCCTCAGCGTCAGTGATGAATCCTAGAAGGACGAAACAGCTGTATGATGAAACATCACTGATGAGTCCTAGAAGGACGAAACAGTTGTTTGGCGCAGTTAACGTTATAAATTGGCTCTACTATGTCAAATATCTAACTTTGTATTAAAAGGTGTTATTAGATGTTTTTTGCGTGTACAAAAGTGCAGGTGTTTTTATATCATTTCAAATGGTAGCACGGTATATAGAATATAGAATGTATTTAAACCTGCTGTTCACTTGTGTGTCTCTCGCACAATCACTGAAATATTATGTTTCAAAGAAGTTTACTAAACTGTTCCTAATTACATTGCTAATAATTGCCAAAAAGAACTTATACCAAATATGACGTGTCTCATATAAAAATCCAAAATAAGTAATCGTGTATCTAGAGAAGATTTAAATAAGGTCATGTTTTCATATGATATAGAGATGCAGTTAGGATTCATCCACCACGAGGAGTCATTTCCTAACCAGCAACTCTAACATACTACAATACAGGAAAGAATCACATCAACAGCGAAAACATACGTTACAGAGTAAAGACATACCATCTATGGAAACTTGTATTGTTTATATATAAATATTTCATGATAAAAAATTAGCTCATGATCATCAATCGCCTTTAGGGGTCCTTCTCTCCGTCCTGAAAAAATTATTTTCGATATTTCTGCAGAAGTTCTAACATCTTTCTGAAACTATTCCATTTACGCTAGCGTGACTTTTTATTTTAAGATTGATCATACTAATCAAACTAGCTTACAACTGGTCATCTTAGATAAAAATAAACAAACAAACATATTGCTTTTGTTATCGCAAAAAATTCTACATGAATATTCCTCTGACTTATAATAGATCTAGTTGGCACCCGGTGTCCTATGTTCTACTTTGAGACTGATTAACAAAATGAAAATTCAAACTGGCGGCCATCTTGATTTCGTACCTAGGTAAATTGTTTTCACGAATTTTCAGGTAGTTCTGGTGTATCTTTCTTAACGTTTTATGTTGACATGTGAGTATTGTCTTGTTGTTTTTGTAACGTAGCCTTCCCGTCGTTCCTTATTGTAGATGTTAAATATCTTGCCTGATTAAATTTGAGAATGGTCGGACGAATAATGTTGGATGTTAACATTTGAATTTGTATAGACTAATTCCTAGTACAGCAAGGATTCTACATGTCTCGACAAGTTACTCGTTACATGGTGGGCGTAGTATAGTAAGTGTGATCTCACTCTACCTTGATGAAATCATTAATGAAAATAACTTACCCATGCTGTTTACTCCTCTGCCTTTATCGCAGGAGTTCTGACTTCCAAACGACGAAAACGATAAAGTTCTCTTGTTGGAATTCCCGCTCGTACTCATTAGGTGAGATTATCACGAACCTGTTGCATTACAAAGTCGTTAGGTTTACTTATGCAATTGTAATAATTGACAACAATTGACTGGCATATATTACATAAAGCCTACTATCATTCTGTTACATTTTCATCGCCAAGTAACCCTACCTTGGCTTGCCTGATGGGGAAATGGTATGCATCTCCGTTTTCATTTTCCATAAACGAATTGTGATTTGTACCTGTGTCCCACTTAAAATTAGTGTTAGGTGGACGATTCGCGAATCCGTCAAATAGAGATGGGGCGATCTCTTTTAGCTCTCTCGCCTATTTGCTCTTCACCAAAACTCACTCTGGGAGTGTCTCTTATTTTAACATTACATGTCACTATTTTAAGTCTTACAGGAAAGCTCCCGTTAAACGCTACATGGTATATATGAATCCTCTATAGTTGATGAAAATGGCTCAGGAAGTGACCGGATGTTAAAATTTGTATTAAAAAGTACCATTCAATAATGTGACACGCTAAGTTCAGCTGAATATGGTATATCATTCAAATCATGAAAATTACATTCTTTTCTGGTCACATAACTTAAAAGAACGTTTTGAATATTTTGAATATGTTCTTCTCGTACGCTCATCTCTCACAAAGGAAAAGTGGAAAAGATCTCAGGTTTCATTCTATCCACTTCTGTGATAATACCAAGTTAGACCAAGTATTGATTATATTTTTCCAAAATACATTTGAAAGTATTTGTCCCAGAAATATCATGTCATTGACCTTCTGTCGGAATATAAAACTGCTTTACCAGGATCAATGCAGTTCCCTAACAAGGTAAATATTTAAAGGGACGTTACCTTCTACTTGAAGAGTGATGGCGCTATTGATAGTTTTACATACCTTAGTAACATGTAAGAACATAATAGTTATAACTGACCAGGTTTTACTGAATGTTCAATCACTTCAAAAGTAAAGAAAAAAACGATCTGTCATTAATTTAAGTAAACGACCGAATGACGCAAGTTCGCCCTCATTTTTAATTTTGCATAAATGCTGCGCATACGATACAAAAGTATACATTTTTGGGAAATCAAAAAACAATACGAACCACATAAACTTCACTTGTCAGCTTAATTGATATTCTCTTTGACCGTTTGCCAATTTTAGACTTGTCATATGGATATTTATTTTAAGACATTGAGGCAGTAATATGCCAATATAAATGGTGAATTGAACGATGAACAAAGCAAAGACTAAAATTTCCAACAAAACTCCGATAAAGCTCCGCTTATTTTGCTTGTCATTTAAATTTTCACTGAAGTGTTTTCAAAATTCTCATTTATTTATCGAAAGAAAGAAAACCGTTATATAAGTGTCTTTAATCTCATAGATTTTGGAAGTTTTATTTATTATGTTGTTTTAATCATAAATTCTACTTGAGTTATACTACCGACGAACGTTTTCACATTCCAGGTCTTGAAATCCACAATATTTTCGCAAATGCTGATCCGTATAAAAATTGTATTGAGAATAGTGCACGTATTAGTCTGTATCTACCAAATATTAAATATGTGATAAAGAGTGCCAGTAATTTTCTTTTTCTTACCTTTCAATTTTGTAGGTTAATCTTCCTCTCTTCCTTCCTAATTTATCATTAACTCATCGTGTGCGCATGCGCAAGTAAACTGCGCACCAAATAAGACACGTTGTAGTTACGATCGATAAGACATGGAGTATTTTTAGCTCATGTCGTTGTTAGCCTGCTAGCGTTAACATTACAATATCGAGAATGGGATTCGTGAAGTCTTTACAATAACAGAGTATACTATAAGATTACTATAAGAATATACTTTTAGTACAGTGAGACGTCATTTTCATAATGAAAAATGAGATAAGCTCCTTTCCAACACCCTAGAAAAAATAATACTCCTATTCTATATCTCTCTCATCATTACAACTTTCATATATCAAGACGACTGAAAAACAAAATAATTCAAAATTCCTTTTTTCTTTACTTGACAAAGTTTACAGTGTCTTTATATGAGGGCAATCTTACTGTTATTACAGTAAAATCTGACATTTTCAATAAAATTAAACCTTACAACGATTGCCTACACTGTAACACAGAGAGGAGGTAAAAGTACGCCGCCGGAGAGGAGTGGTTGTTGATATCACGCCTAACCAACAAACTGTGAACGGTTCCAGGATCCGTCGCCATGACGAAGAAATCCTAGCCAAGGAAACATAGATGCATATGTTATCGATTTCTGACAATACCACAGACAGCCAAAAAGTGATAATTAGATGTATTTCAAGATTTATGAAACTATTGGTTTTAGTCGTTATGTGTAAGAAGCTAACACACCTTGGCTCTCGCTGTGAACGGCTGGGTACAGTCACTCCAATATCATTTCACTTGGCATTAATAGGTTTTGGTATAAAGAAATGAATTTCTAGTAATCATGATTTTCACAAATTCATTTTTTATTATTTTTCGATTTCCAACGAACCTTCCGAAAAATTATCATTCCAGGACCAATGAAATTAATTTCATTAATGGGGCTTGAGCAGAAGGACTTTATAGGCAACATTTACTAACATTAATCCTTAGATCTGAAATTGGCGAATATGTTGACTATATTGGATTTTGGACTGACTCGAACAGATATCATATTTGATCAAGGCCATCTCAGGGCAATTTTGAGTACGAAATTTGACATTGGTTTTGTTCAGTAACACAATGATTATTCTGCAAAAGTGTTGAAAAAGCCAGCATATCAAACCTCAGATAAAATCGCTACAGATTTGCCTTCCTTTACATAAATGCTAGTTACCAGCTTGATGCCACCAATGCCAACATTTCAGGCAAGCGTCAGCTGAATATCATCGGTATGATTTAATGTGAAAAGAAAAAGTCGGACGAAGATGTCTTGAGAACATTCTGACCTTTCAGGTCAGTAACTGAAAACGAAAGTTTGATAGAGATAGAGGAAAAGACTTTAAACAAAACGGATGCCATAGTAACAGGAAATCATGGGAGGGAAATCACATATTCTACGTAATAATAGTTTTATTCACAATGTACCTTGTAAATCGCTTAACCCCAAGAATATATACATGTATATATATCTATCCAGCAGTTTCACTTATTCATTACAAAATGATTCTCATTTTCGAAAGAACATTTCACTTTGATGCCACAAGCTTTTACTTCTTCAATGTTTTTGAAGAAGAGCTGTTGGTGTTTTCCTGTCTTTTGTCTTGGAAAAATTGATGAAATTGATAGAAATATGAGATAAACATAATAGATAGATTTGATGAGATAATCAGTCATTTCAGTCTTGACATTCTTTTTTGCTTCTGTATTGCATAGAAGTGATACGAGCTCCTTGTATACAATATGTGAGTCATTGAATGAAACACTTACAATTGTCATTTTATTAAAACATAATGATAAGTCTGTCCTTTTGCTGAATCCACCAAGGTATTTTAAATTATATGGTTATAATGTGTATTGTTAGTGTTTCCACTTTGTTTTGTTTTCCTCTGGAGCCTCCTTGCAATTAGGGGTTCTAACATCATTGACGAGCCCCGGATATACTCAACAACTGCATTATGCAATTTGGATAATTGTTTTGGTATCATTCTAATTTTATATTTGCATGAACATGTGTTATTCATTTTTTGTCTTGTATACAGAAGAAGTCTGTACCTACATGTAATACCTTTCTATATGCTGTTATAAGAACATCTGCTAATGAAACATATCGATTTTTCTGTGCCACTAAACACCCAAGACTTATAAGCGGCATCCAACGCATGCGCACAACGGAACAAATAAAATGGCCGTGGTGGACTGATATGAAGATATTTGAAAGTATACAGAGGTATGTTGATTATATGTTCTGTCTGTAACTAAATTTTATGTTTTAAATTTATATTGATGTCAAGTTTTGTCACTTAGTCATGTTATTGAAAACATTTTAGCTCTTAGATTAAGCCTTACTTAAATATTTAAGAGTAATTGATGTATAAATATCGGTACAAGGAAACAGTGCGTGTAGTTTTATACCATTATCGACAAAAATTACATATACCTGATAATTTTGGTGATGATTGCCGTCAAAAAGTTCAACACAATCAGACCTAGATTTTATAAATAGCTCTAGATCATGTCTAAACTAAAGTTCAAAAGGAAGATACTTTCAGAAAAACGGTCTATTCATTAAAAAAGAAAAACCTTGGTCTTGATATCGACAGACAACAAGAAAGAACTTCAATAAGGCATTTTTTTACTAAAAACCTCCCGAATTCTGTAGAAAATTTTGTCAACATTAAAGTATTTATTTAGAGAAGTAGCAAAGCTTTGATTTAACAAAAAATAGTTTCTATAACGGAATTATGTTTCTTATTTCCGATGTAGACATTGTTTCACATTTCTGTATTCAATAACTTACCCATTTTGTTTTTGTTTGTTTGTTATTTCTGGGGAAATCTTTGAAATTGAAAATATATTAGTTAATTTACCTCTTTGATTTTACATTAAAGTGTTCTGATTACAAATAGATATCATATAGTTATTATTGAATGCATACTATCGAAATCAGGATAATGTAGTCGATGAATGTGGTGTTTGAGTATAAGAACTATGTTTTCTGCTCAAAAACCACATTCATCGACTACATTATTCTGACTTCGATAGCATGCATGCAATTATAACAGATGAATTATTTTTAGGGTTGTTCAGCTCTTGAGAGATGGATATATTTTTTTCTGCAATCTTTCGAGTGTCTGAAACTGGTAACGATAAGTTTACCACGAGAGGATACAAGCTTGTTTCAACTTTTAAAGTCCATCAGAAGATCGATCCTTGTACCATACAAATACGACTACCAAAATTGATGTATACCCTTTTCTCATTTGAGGACCCGACATTACTTACTTGGAATGACAAACATTTACCAGGCGGGTGTTGTCGATAAAGCAGAAGACCATTGCTGTTCCGAAACACTTGATATGGTTCTCTT